TAGGGAGAGGAGTTGGGATGCAGAAACTTTTACGATGTCTGCCTTGAACATCCCACAAAAGCAGGAGAAAGGTCAGAGGGGCGAATGAGTCACAAAAGTTGCCTGGCAAGCGGGGTCCGGCACCGATCCTCAGCTCCTGTTGGACCCCCCGGGCGTGGGCGAGCATTCCTAACCCCTTCAACCCAAGCGCCTGCCAGAAGCCAGAGCGTGGCCATTGCGCTCCTGCTGGAAAGGGGGGGGAACATCCCCTCGGGGCAGTAGTTTGCCCGAGACCGATTCTCTGCCCTCTCCAACTGTTGGCGCGCACTTGCGACTTTTCATCCTCAACTTAAAAGACTATTCAGTGGTTCGGATGCACGCAGTGTCTTCCTCGCTCCCCGCCACACTTGGAAGAGATTTAAGGAGCTTTGAACGGTGCTCACAAAGGGAAGATCTTTACCTGTTGAAGACTGACTAGCGATGGAGAACGGCCCACAGAGACGGCCCACTTCATCTTCCCCACTAACTAATGTACTTACTCTGTTGAAGGGAACTGTTCAGAATCAGCAAGCCAGTGAAATAGCCTTATCTAGCAAATCCATGGCTCAAAATTATTTAGGTCAGCAAGGCTCAGATAAGACACACGGTGAAAGATTCTGACTTTAAGTTTTGGAGTTCTTGAGCTGCCTCAGGAACTTCAAAAGGGATTCTACTGGGCAAATGGCCCTTTGTCATCAACACTACAGCAAAAGAAAGGGCACAGCCTCCAGAAAGGGTGGACACCCATAAGGCAGTTAAAGTGGGGAAACTTAGTCAAATGCCAGAGGTTTTGGGGTGGAAAAAGAAGGGAAATCACTCTCCTTACACTATTTATCATGGAGAAACTGATGCCTCTCGCCAGGCTTGCTACTCTATTTATTTCAACGTTGCAAGGAGTTCACTTGGAAATAAGTGTTGATTCAGGGTGGAAAAAGTGTTGATGAAAGTATGGTGTTGGAAAAAATAGAGGAGAATATTTTTAATAATGTAGAGAACTCCTTACTTGAGTAAAAAAAATCTATACCAGTCGGACAAAGTGGCTTATGCCTTTAATCCCAGGACACGGGACGCAGAGGCAGGTAAATCTCTGAGTTTGAGACCAGCCTGGTCTACCCATTGAGTTCCAGGACAGCCAGGGGTGTGTAGAGAGATTCATTCTTAAAACAAACATACAAATCTGTATAAAATTGTACATGCAGCTGTAAAATCAAGAACTCATCCATTTTAAAATATTCAGACCAAAAAAAAAAAAAAAAAAAAAAACCTAGAAGGAAATCCCCCAGGTAATTAGTGAGTGCTGGGGGTCATGAGGGGTTTGGTTTGCTTTGGTTGATTTTAGTGTTTCGACAACTCAAAACCGGCGGCATTATGGACTTTATTGGCACTGCTAAGAACTGCATTCAGTGTCAAAATTCCTCTCTGTGTGATGGGCAGACTGGATAGGGCAGCTACCACATTCTTGGGCAAGAACCACCCTCCTCTCTGTGTGTGTTTGTGTGTGTGTTTAGTATCTACAAATAAGAGTTATACTATGTATGCATTTTATTTACAAATAGATTGATGTAAAGGATATAGAAAACATACCAGTACCAATTCAAAACAAATATCAGAGAATCAGTAATCTATCCCATAGAGAAATCTCATTATTAAAGAAATCCCTGTGTGGACATTCCAAGACTGCTCTTCCAGAGAACCCGGAGTTCTATTCCCAGCACTCAAAGCACAAGTGTCTAACTCCAGGGTCTAATACCCTCACACAGACATACATGCAGGCAAAACACCAATTAACATAAAAATAAAAATAAATTATAAAAAATGTGGCAACGTATAAGGATGCATAAACTAGGAGGTGGCAGACTTTAGAAGTGGCACAAAGGGGAAAAAAAGGTGTTGGAGGCTGAGAAGGGTAGGGTAGAGAATGGAAATGGAATCAGGAATGAGTCCTAGGATTATTCCTAATGACCTGTGTGTGTGTTCTGGTAAGCCCAGAGAGACTAGTTTCTCTAACATGCCTTTAGAAACAAAAATATCCATGTCCTTTCTGAATATTCCTTTTCCTCAGACAAACTTGCTGCAGTCCTCTCACACCTCAGCTTCCACATTCTAGCTATTTCCCAGTGAGCTATTTTCTGAACAACCTTCTACTATAATGTCTGCCACTTGGACAACCATGTTTCTTTAATCTACTCCAGTAAATGTTCCCTACAATTAGCAATGGGGGCTTTTAATATTGTAAATAACTGCCCCATTTAAATTATAGTTTTGCAAGAGACTTTATGCTACCTTAAAAAGCCAGCAGGATGTTGGAATGATATAAAGCACAAGGAGGCAGAGACCCTTGGCTAAATACCTTTGGAGGAATAATTAGGGTGGGTGCAGCCGGCTCTTTCATGCCTTTGCTTTGAGTATTTCAAGCTGTTGCTGCTTTGAAGATTAAAAAGGAGCCAAAACTCAAACCTTTGAAACTAGGATATTTTCCCCCTTCTAGTTCATCAAGTGAGGTATTCAAGTGCATTTCTTAAATATTTACTTCTACCTAATGTTTTCTAACATATTTAGATGAAGACTCTTATCTGAACACCCCCACACACACACATACACACACATAAGAACCTCTAAGACAATGCAATACTTGTGGTACTTACATCATGCTGAAAAGTAGCCGAGAACTCCAGTGTTTGGAAGAACAGCACAGGCTTTGAAAGCAGCAATATCCAAATAAGGTACCAAGCACTGGGCTTAGATTTAGACCAAATGATACCTCACAGATCTGTCCTCTGATGCAGCCTGGGCTTGGTAAGCCTCAGGTTGACTTCGGCTTTTTCTCTGGACCTACTTATGGTGTACTTTAAAAGTTATTCTAAAGTATTGTTACAAAATATAATCATGGGGTTGAAAGGAGAGAAGTTTCTAGTGTGAATATGTAAGATGGGGCTTGAAATTTAATATGAAGTCAGCAAGATGAAGTATAATGGATTATTCCTATCAAAATGCCAGGTAAACAGATTGCCAGGGATGAAAAGCTACCAAGGAGACAGAAACCAAGGAATGTAGGGCAGGGAGGAAGGCCCCCAAAAGCTACCAAGGAGACAGAAACCAAGGAATGTAGGGCAGGGAGGAAGGTTACACAGCCGCTATTTTGATATAAGTGGTTAGGCATGTGTGGGGTGGGACAAGGGGTGGAGGAGGGGGACATGAACAAAACTGGTAAGCTATGAAGCAAAGAGAAATGTATAAGCAAAAGCGTAGGCCTGTGTCTACCCAGACCAAAGGAAGGGCTCTGAGATAGCAATGCAACCTCTGCTCCAAGGGAAAAGAAATATACATTCCTTGCATTTACTATTCTCATTCCAGAAAGGTTTTTTATTTGTTTGTTTATTTACTTCTAGAAAATCATCTCCCTCTGATTTAAGTTTGAGTGTTTGAACATCAGGATAGGTCATGAATCTTGACAAAATTCCCAAGGTTCACATTCGACAGCATGGTCATAGCAGTGTGGTTAGCAGTGTGGGGACTGAAATAAACGGGCAGATGCAGAGCACACCACAGTCTCTTAAGGCAGTCAGTGGCTTATATTTAAAACATTAGAAAGAGTATCCACCCAGGGATGAAGTTAGACCCACACCTCACACTACACACAGAAAGGGAACTGAAATAGATGGCAGACTTGAAATTGAAATTCTAAAACTACAACTACAACATTCTTAGAGGAAACTCAACACAAGACCGCCAAAAACCCTGGGTAAAGCAGTGCCTTGTTGGGTAAGACAAAAAACATAAGTCATAAAGAAAACTAGGTGAATTTGGATTTTACCACAAGGTGAGGGACAGGTTCATGTAAGTTTGTGGCAGAATACGGGCTTGGCTTGTGCTCCAACGTAAGTTAAGTTACCAACACTCAGATGGCAGCTCACAAATGTCTGCAACTCTGTTTCCATGAATCTAATGCCTTCATCTGGCCTCTGTGGACATCAGGCCCACACACAGTACCCAGACATATATGCAGGCGAAACACCCACACACACAAAAATTCTTTTTTGTTTTTGTTTTTTTAAGACAGGATTTCTCTGTGTAACAGCCTTGGCTGGCTGTCCTGGAACTCACTCTGTAGACCAGACTGGTCTTGAACTTACAGAGATCTGCCTGCCTCTGCCTCCTGAGTGTTGGGATTAAAGACATGCGCCACCATCACCAGGCTATAAAATATTTTTTTTTTCGAGACAGGGTTTTTTTGTAGCTTTGGAGGCTGTCCTGCAACTCGCTCTGTAGACCAGGCTGGCCTTGAACTCACAGAGATCTACCTGTCTCTGCCTCCTGTGTGCTGGGATTAAAGGTGTGTGCCATCACTGACCCGCAAATAATTTTTTTAATGTAAGGAACAAACTCTGTAGAATAAGAAAGATATTTGAAAATAATCTTTGTTAAGGAAATATACAAAATATACAATAGAATATACAAAAACCTGTTATAATATGAGATAATAGATTTATTATTACTATTATTGTCATTATTATTGCTTTATTTTTTAGATAAGATCTCACTATGTAGCTTTGGCTGGCCTGGAGCTCTCTGTGTAGATCAGGCTGACCTTGAACTCATAGAGATTCACCGGCCTCTGCTTCCTGAGTGTTGGGATTAAAGGCTTATGCCCCCATGCCTGGCAAGAAATAAATAATTTTTAATGGGCAAAGGATGCTAATAAACAATAGATATACAAATGGCCATAGGTATCTAAGAAGATGCTTAGTGTCATTAGTCATCAGGGAAATGCAAACCAAAGCTACAGGGAGTTAATACTTCATACCTACTACAATAGTTACAAATTTAAAAGATGGAGGGGAACTGGAAAGATGCCTCAGTGGTTAGGAGCACTGGTTGCTCTTCCAGAGGACCCTGGTTCAATTCCCAGCACTCACGTGACATCTCACAACTGTCTGTAACTCCAGTTCCTAGGTACCCAACACCCTCATATAGACATACATGCAAGCAAAACACTAATGCACATAATTAAAAAAAAATTAAAAGACGATGTGGTGGTTTGCATAGGAATGGCCCCCATAGACACATGTGTTTGAATGCTTGGCCCACAGGGAGTGATACTATCAGAAGGTGTGGCCTTGTTGGAGTAGGTGTAGCCTTATTGGAGGAAGTGTGTCACTGTGGAGGCGGGCTTTGAGGTCTCATATACTCAAGCTACACCCCATGTGGGACACAGGTCTCTTCTTCAGCACCATGTCTGTTTGCATGCTGCCACCATGTCCCACCATGATGATAATGGACTAAACCTCTAAAACTGTAAGCCACCCAATTAAATGTTTCCCTTTATAAGAGTTGGCGTGGACATAGTGTCGTCTTCACTGGAATAAAAACAGATGACAACAGGAGGTGCTATCTAGGATCTGAAAAATCACAATGCCTTTATTTGTTTACTTGTCTAACAGTCTAAAAATTGTTATTTATTCTTTGACAATGTGT